GAAAACGGAAGGCTCGCCGATAGAATGTCACGCTCGACCACTGGGGAGTCCATTTTCTCAAAATTTCGAGTTCCTTACTGCTCTTTCGCTATCAAGACAGATTCATTCCCAAAGGTCCAGTTCCACGATCAAATTGAGCCATCAAATTGGGCCTCTCATTGGTCGCATCCTCACCTCAGGTCTTTTTCCACCAATCAGAGCTTCAATTTGATAGCTCAATTTGATCGTGTATCTGGACCACGATGTTGCGCCGGGCTCACGACAGACATGACAACCTCGGCCCGACGTTTACCGTCCGATTTCAACGTGTGTCGAAGCGGTGAACGATGAGCAGACGGAGCACCAAAGGTGTTGACTGTTGCACATTCGGTGGCCATTTCTCACGTCGATGAAAATCGGTATTGTCGCGTCTCGGCGTGGCGGCGATGATGCCTCACGCCCCGTCACGCCCCCCGTGGCGCGACGAATCCGTCGCCCCTCCGGCGTAAGGGCGTACCTCAATTCCCACGTGAGCCCTGCTTCACATCTACATCCATACTTCCTGGGGCTCGTGGGGATATCGGGATACGCCCTTCTGCCTCGTCGTCTCCCTCCCGATAATGTCAGGTGCTCCTTGATGATGTCTTCATTCACTCGCCTCCCGACGACGACGGTCTGCATTCTGTCCGGCCATTTACCACTAGATCTCCGCGACCAGATATCTGCCACAGAGTGACGGACCTTGCCTAGGTTACCTCGATGCGCCTTCGCGAAGGAGTCTGAAAATTCCTACTTGACGACGTGCAATAAAATGAGTCCCTGAGAAAGGACAGACATTAAACTTTGAAGCAGTATTGCAAACGGACACAGCGGGCCGATTATTGAAATTGATAGACAAAGCTATAGACAAAGATGACACAAAGGGTATGAAGGGATCCTATTGGTGGGAAGAGGTGGTTGAAATAATGGACAAAGGTGGTAGGTAATAGACAAACTAACGGCAACCCACGAGAGGCCCAATGGTTAGTCCATCATATTCTCCCTCAGTCTATAGGAACCACCCACCGCAGCCAATGGGATCGCTCCATACTCCCTATGTCTTCTTTTTCTACAGCGTTGTCTATCAATTTCAATAATTAGCCCGCAGCGCCGGCTAAAATTCGAGAATTTTTATGTAATTTTACTGATATCTCCTATGTAAGATGAGCTTTTGAAATTAAACATCATATTATGTCTAAATCACAAGAGAATCGGGTTGGAGAAGTGCATTTAATCGGAGTTTTACACGCATTTTCGAGTGGAAAAATCTACGTGATCGAGGAATGAGCTATACAGACCCAAATTTTCTCAAAATTTACACCTGGAAATTTCGATTATAAGAGCTTACTGTGCTCGGATCAACTCAACCGTAAGTCTCATGACAACATGAACTACAGGATGCGTAGTAAGTAGTGTTGTGTCGTGGCGGCATTGTCTCTAGTCTAACAAGATCATTTAAGTTTTGTGGACAGATGGCTGAGTTTGGTAACATTCCCCACCCCGCTCTCCTCTTGGCCAGCGCGAGCCTTTTGATCAGGCTGCAGAGAGAATTGTTTTGCCCTGGGGACTGGAGTCGCGTTATTTTAGCTCTCGGTAGGATACTGATTCCACCGCCGCCTTCCCCCCGCCCCGCCCCGACTCAAAAGATCCTCCCTGAATCGATTGCGCTTGGACTTTGATGTCAACGCGGTTCATTGAGCACTTTTGTGGATTGAATATTAGCTCATAATTTAATATTTGCCCATTGATGTCCCGATGTTATTCGATGCTCGAGTTATTAGGGGTCCTTCATAAATTGTGTTACGTACCGGGGGGAGTAGAAGCTCATGTATGGTTCGCGTCTCCGTTTCGCTGATTTTACGCGACTCTACGCTTTACGGCGTAAACCACCTCTGACTTCTGTTCATATGAGAGGGGAAAAAATTCCGACATGGGCGGATAAAATTGGGACTTACGCAGTGCTTTTCGACAGGGTTCTCTTTCGACTTGCGAGAATTTCCAAATTAATCCTCGGAGCGTGCTAAATCGCCATAACTCTGCGAGACAGAATTGCTTTTTCTCACGTGAAACAATGAAAGAAGAAAATATTTGAACGCTTTTAGATAAAAAGGAACTATATTCATGGTGACGTGAGTCCTGTCATAAAGACATGAGCCTGTCACGAACGTAAAAAGATGCTGTTTGGACAGATCGTAATAATTTTAGCTGATCGACAAGGATCAAGCATCAAAAATACGATTCTGAGACTAGCGCAACTGAACCGTTAAAAAATTAGTCTATAGAAAATAATCTGATTTAGAAAATTGCTCCTCGTCATAGAAATGAGTTTCCTTCTTTCGAACTGGGTCATCTCACGTTTACTTTGAAACAATCGCGGCAGCGCATCCTCCGTCATGAAACTTGTTGAAAATTCGCAACCGTACGCCCAACTTTGACGCATTTACAGTTCTGCTGCGTGGTTTCTCGCGAGCATCGTTTCCAATCGGATCGTTAAAACTGTGAGCCGGATGCAGTTCACGTTGTAAAAGCTCGTTCGGTTCGGTGCCCGGCATAAAGTCGCGGCCGTGGCTCTAAGCTCGCGTGGCATTCAAATTACGCAACTTGCGCATGGACTGACAGGGAGGATACGGCGCACAGTGGACCGAGTCAATTAGAAAGGTCGAACATGAAATTGTTGACTAAAACTGCAAATTTTGAAGTTTATTTCGTCACATTTTAAAATTCAAATGGTGCTACCAGAAGAGAATTTCACGAGGAAACCAACGGAAACACTTTCAGAACCTCAAAGTTTGGTATAAACGGAGTTATAAGCGTTTAAAGTTTCCAACTTTTTTTCGACCCCTTCTCTTGGCTCGGTCCACTGTGCGACGGGACGCGACGCATGGGAAAATTATAACACGCATAAAAGATAAATCAGCGGCCCCGGGCCCGGACGCTGATGGCCGTTTCCAGAGGGAAACTCATTTCAATTTTTGACTCGCGCACTGACCAGTCGGGCACCTCTCTTTATGACGCTTCCCGGGTTGTCATATGGTCATGACGTCGTATCGTTATGATCTCGGAGCATGAAAAATCAAGCACATGCAAAGATTTTGGCCTGTAGACAAAGTATACAAAAATTGAGAATTAACACCGAAAAAATTTATTCCCGCATCTGCATCATTTTATTCCATCTATTATTTTTTTTTTGACATGGAAAATTGTAGTGATATAGATTTAAAAAGGAGAAAATTGATGCCTTTGACGTCATCAGGCGGTATATTTTTCATTTAAACAAATGTAGTTAGGCAATATGATTATGTCATTTGGTCATATCTCATATACTCATCATACCTTTATTTAAAACCAAGGATATTCTCGTGTTCCAGGAGTGGGGTACCATATAATGTTGATGAGGGTCAGAACAATTGATATCCAATGAAAAGTGTAGTAATATAGTCTTCTCAAAAGGATGTCTCGACTTATCAGAGGACAGGCACGAATTTGATGTCTTTTTTTTATTTTTGTCGTTGATGAGAATATTATTTTCATTCTAAATGTTGACAATCCACGCAAGAATCAATCAACGCGATGCGTCCAAATGACAAATCCAAAATTCCTGTCCATCATTGCGTTCATTCAGGCAATTTTGGAATCAATTTCTTTCAAATTTTTCAAACTTGAAGAATCAAGTGTCACGATTTTCGAAAAATTTAAAAAGTCTAAATCATAACATTTGAAAACTTTCTCTTTCTCGCTTTTCCGAGATACTCACAATCCGACAACCTGAAGTCTGGATACGGAGGATTCGAACGCTCCGTCGCGTCGCGCGCCGCTATGGATTTTATGCGGACGGTATAAAGTAAATGAAAAAGAGATATAAAATTTACGACAAGATATTCATCAACCACGTCGAGAACCCCGCTATGATTTTATGGATCGCCCTCTCCCCCTCCCCCAACCGCTGTCACTGAACCTTCCGAGTCGCCGAAATTGGGCCATGCGAGTTGGGAATAAATACACCGCGGAATCGCTGGATTCCATCGTCAGACGCATTCCTGTGGAAGCGAAATCGAACGGGACTGCTTTTGAGTTGTATGCAGAGACCAAGGTGCGAAGTAACTCGCTTGAGTTACAACACATATTTTACAGCTCATTCAGATGCGACTCATTGCTGGGGTGTTTTTTTTTGGGGGGGGGGGGTTCAGAACCCAACTTTCGTCTCGCGGGAAATCATGAACAAGATGTCCATAATCCATTCTGATATTATTTTTGGAGAAAATTTCAAATTAGTTAGTTTTGATTGCCCTCTATGTGATAAAAGACAAGCGTTCCGTTCAATTTTCAAGCAAGGAACGGAGAGTGTCAAAACGCCCCACGAAAGTAAATGGGCGCGGCGCAACTGTGTCACTATGCTACAAACAGCGTAAAATTATCTAGATCACAAAAAAGTAAGTCTTGAGCATTTCCTGATGATACATACATTTTAAAATACCACTAATCGCAATAATATTTACAGGAAGAGTAATGTAATTTTAGGAGAAAAAACACATGTTTTGTTATTCAGGCTCAAAAGCTCTTCTAGAGTCGATTTAGCTATCCAAATACATTTGAATAATGAAGACTCACACAACATTTTAACTGAAATTGTACTACATACAGTCAGATATGACAGAATCATGTATTCTTTTACTTTCCTTTGGCAATTTCGACTATCAGCGTGTGGTTGGATTTTGCGGAGTGCTATTTGAATTTTTACCATCCGACATTATACGAATATACCACACACGGTACATTAATTACCATATTCTGTGAGTCAAAGAGCCCAATGTTTTATATTTTAGGCTTTTGGTTTTTGTGTGATCATGTTGTTCTAAAAAGCGATTTGTGCTCATTACTAGGCAACAAATTGGAAAAAGAAAATAAGGCACTTGAAAAACTATCGAGTCTCGATAGTGCACGGAGAGAAAGGATAATGAGGAAGAATTATGCATTGAACTTACCCCTGGTGTTGTCGCTTGAGCGTCGAACGGATAGCGGGTCCAACCCAATTTCGGTTCATTGGAAGTGTCCAGTATAACAACTGAAACAAACGAGAAACGGAACGTTAGAATAGACGGAGACTCCGAAACGCAGCCACTTCCACAAAACGGATGGATTACAGTTAATTACATCAGGCAAAATTTTAATCATGGAATTACTGGAGGAACCGCGGACTACCCCTCCCCACTTATGTTTTCATGGCGGTCATACGCACGAGACAAAGGACAGTATTACCTGGGCGGATACCGCAAAAAGCTCAAACGGCCCCGCCGCGCCGCATAAGTTTGCGCTATTAAAGGCGGTTAATTAGAAACGATGCGCCATGCCATGGCGCGACGCACGTAAAGCGGATTTCGACACGGGATATTTCGACCCAGTCGCACTTGGGGCTCAACGCTTCCGGCATTTGGACATCGGAGTATGCGCGGCGGTTGTGCACGTCGTAAAGTTGTGTTTTGATGGTTTTATTCAGATTGCTAAAAATTACAATCTCTATCGCAACCTGACGTATCAGAGTCGATATATGAAAATGCGACTGTCTGACGAACGCTGAAGGTAAAGTCTTTTTTTCATATTACAATTTAAACTCATCAATTCACGCTTGGCGACAGCGCGCCTTCAATTTTACAGATGCAACACGGACATCCATTACGTACGAATAGTTGTATCTCTGCGCCGCCATCAAAGCACCACCTACACCATGCTCTATTTCCATGTTGTGTTTGTTTTGGTTTGACTTAATTGCAGTGGTGCTTTCAGGGCTACGTTGGCAACACAGACGACAATAGGTCATACGTTATCGTTTCTAGACTTTATCCCCGAATATTAGTGTCACCACATTGGCAGCATAGAGCATTACGAGTTCACGCCTGGGGCCATCGCGCCTTCAATTTTTCCGACGCAACACGGACATCCATCGAGTGCGAATAGTTGTATCTCTGCGCCGTCATCAACGCGCGACCTTTTCTTTGCTTCTTTTAATGTTAAGTGGGTTTCACTTGTCTTTTTCTCTTTGAGGCGCTACAAGAGCTACGAAAGCCACACAGCTGAAAATAGGAGAGGTGTAATCGGCCACAGTTTTCAACTTCCTCCCGAATCTGAGCGATACCTCATTGGCGCTAAAGAGCGGAGCATTGCGAGTTCACGTCTCGCGCCATCGCGCCTTCAATTTTGCAGACGCAACACGGACATGCATCGAGTACGAATAGTTGTATCTCTGCGCCGTCATCAACGCGCGTCCGTTAATCTATCTGCATGTTATGTTGGTTCCGTTCGCATTATTTGTTGCAGTACTTCATGAATATTAATTATTTTTCTGATGCGCCACTAAACAGACCGTCAAAACACAGTTATGGGGTATTCGAAACGGAACGATTCGAAAAAAAATGCGAGTTTCCAAATCCCCCTTTTCTGTCCTTGTGGCGACGTGTGAAAAAGCGCGGGGGATGCGAAGCTTGCCCACTGTCCCGTTCGGATCCAGTGAAGCGAGCGTGAAATAGCGGGAGTTGCGTGCTGTTTTGGGGGAAAACACGGGGACACGAGCGAAGGACAAGGGGACACGCCATGTTTAAATAATTCCGGGCGCGCCTTTGTGAGTAGCCTTTGACCCCGCGGCAATGACGGCTCTGGCTCCCACTACCTCAATTTACTTTGCTGCGCCTCCGCCTTCACAGCCGTCCTAAGGAAGAACAAAGTATGAACCTACAGACGTTGCCAAATCTCCTCCAACAAATCACGTTATTTCGGGCATATTTGTGAATATTTTTCTTCCCATTTTTCAGAGAATTTTCTTCGTAATTTGATCTAAAGTGCCTGGGCATTTCATGGGATAATATTCATAACTTCCATAAAAAATTACTATTTTCTTGAGACGAAATTTGGCAAGTATGGAATGCTCTTATGTCGTTTTTCCTTAACACGGCAGTCCACACACTCGACGAGGAGCCCGTTTCCAGGTGAATATCCGCGACCGTCATCCCGTTTCGGGATCCCTGCCCCTCTCCAAACACAGCGAGAACGGGATCAAACGCTCGGAAAATGCACACCTTCAAAGCCGCCGGAGACCATTCAAGCTTGAGACGCCAAGCCGTCGCTCCTCTGACGTAATCTCTGTTTCCACACGAGCTCCGGAAAGCATGGTATTATATGGACAAATGGGACCACGTAAATGTTGAGATACGCCCTTACGTCAATTGGGCGACCAAGTGTTGGCTTGTCCACGCAGTCGGACACTTTGTCGTACTTCCTACCGTTTAAGTTACGCCGGATCCAACAGCTTTCCCGCCCGGCTCACAAAGGATCGGGTCAATGGGAAAGTTCGGACAAAATTTGGAAACTTTAAAAGCTTATAACTCTGTTGAAACAAAACTTTAGGTTTTGGAAGTGGTTCCATTGGTTTCCTTGTAAAATTTTCCTCCAGCGACACCCCTTAAAATTGAATGTGTGACGAATTAAACAATGAAATTTGCAGTTTTAGTCAAAAATATCACGCCCGACCTCTCTGATTAACTCAATCCACTGTGCGGCTTAAGGCTCTGAACTGTTTGTAACTCTGTTACGTTACGAGAGACCACGTCCCTTGAAGCGTTGCTTCGACAGAGGACGGAGCTTCATCATAGCGTGCCGATTTTTTCCCACTAAAAATGAAATATCTTGAGCTCCGGCGAGAAATACCGTTTAATTTTCCAGGTTTTCCCGGTGCGTAGAGCTCAGGAGTCAGAAGTTTACACCCTGGAGCATGAGACTGACCACGTTTCCCTGAGACCGAGCTTGGCCGGCGGACTTAGGCACAAAAAACAGGGGAATAAGGAGCTCACTATTAACAAGCCCTTGGCGAGAGGAGTGAGATTAAACTTGACCGTGCAGCGTGCACCATGCGGCGGCATGTGGAAGTGGACTATCCCTTTGCCCTCTCGCCCGGGTCCCTTGGGGGCTTCCCCGCGCCCCTCCCTCCCGAGTCCCCGAGCTTCCGCATCATCCCCTTGTGTTTTGTTCTGTTACGCGCCCCTACTTAATGAAGAGCGAGCTTGCATTCGTTAAAATTTAACAGCTCTCATGAGCATAACGCTTCGATGCCAGGTTGCCTTGAAACGAGTCAACTGCCGGTGGAGCTTCCCGAATTTCGTTAAAAGCTCGCACACGCACGCACATGCATGGTTCGTTCGTGACGTCATTACCCTCTGGAGGGACTGCACGATTGAATTTAATTAGAGTGCCCATTAATACGCTTCCAATTACCGAAAAAGCCTACTAAAAGAAGATTAATACAAGTGCCTTGGCGAATCATCGTTTGTTTCCGGGTTACTTATATCTGTGAAGAGGGACACTATCTTCCGGGAAGAAAATTTTCCTTCGCCTTTTAGGAACACTTAAACCACGTTTTTCTACAACTAAGAAATTTTTGTCTTGAACCATCAGGACTAACATTTCCTTCAACTTGGAGATTTTAGGGTCAAAACTTCGAGAGAATTTTCAGATTTTTTCCTCCAATCCATGCATTTGTAAAAAGTTGAAGAACATTCTCTCTCAGAAGGCAAGGTATGTCCGTAAAAAAGGTGTCTTTTTACAGACCCGGTCACATTTTTTGTGCGGTATTTTTTGTGCGGTACACAGCTGGGGTCGAAATTTTTTTAAACAAATTGTAAAATTTGGCGATCAGACTCTTAACCCCTATTTTTTCGGAAAACTGTTTTCGGAAACATCGAAAATTTTCCTAATTTTGGTGTCTCATTCATGAGGTTATGAACTGCTCATGAAACAATTTTGATCCCTGAAAATGACTTTCGCATCACTCGTTTTCATGTCTTGGTCGGTGCCTTCGAAGTATTTTATAATTGTTCAAAACCCGGCAACAGTCGAGTGTTGAGAGGGATCTGTCCGCAGCATCCCGCCGCCACCGCCGCTGGACCAGACGCCTGCTCCCATTGTCGATTTGCCCGGGTTAATTCTGTTTTTGGCTTTTCGACTGCACTTGAAACGCGACCCTTTCTCCGTAATATTTCTGCGGCTGCAGTTGAAAAGCTACAATGCTCCGCTGCGTCATTGTCGAGCCGCTTGCGAAAAGGCTAGCGCGTGCGAGAGTCGTATTTTCAGCTCCGGAAAATATTTCGGGGAACTTTCGCAGTCTGGCTTGGTGTCTGTTATGCTGGGTGGATAAATGTTCCCGAATGAATCGCACTCGTGCTTCTTTCCTTTCAGAATCTCTGAATTGTGGACTGAAAAAATTTAGAACTTTTGGAGACAGGAAGTGAGGTTCTGACAAGTGTCAAGTTGGAGTATAGGAGATAATTTTCCGAAACTTTTTGCGAATGCACGGTGGGAGAGAATCTGGAAATTTTGGCGCAAATTTGTGCCTGAAATCTTAAAATTTGAAAGAGGTATCTGTCATGTAGTTTCAATTCAGACATTTTTATACTGTGGAGAAACTTAGTTTAGTAAACAGTTATTAAGGAAAATTTTCTTCCGGAGGATAAGGTCCCTATTCACAGATTCCGTCTTAAATGAGCCCAGATATGTTTTTTTTAAAAAAAAGAAGAAAAAAACTATAACGATCAATATGAATTTAAACTTTCTGTCAGGAAATTCCGTCCCAATTCGAAGAAATATCAAATAAAAATATACTTTGATTTGGGGTTAGCCAGCTCAATCAATTTCGGCGATACACTACTTAGTTAAGTCCAACACTTTAGAGAGCGTTTCAATGATGATGAACGCAAAGCTTTCCACAGCTGAAGTCTCTTCTCCCTCCCTTACGATCAAATGAATACGAGACACCGTTGGAAAAACACCGAGGCGCGGTTCAAAGTTGCCGGATTGTGCGATGAGATGCGGATATTTAACGTGGGTTCAAACGGGGGGAAAATGCTTACTTTTCAGCACAATCTGGCGACTACGGCGCGGTTTCGCGAGAAGATCCGCCCCGCGATTTGGGGGGCGCGAAACGAAAACAAAAACAAAAAGTAAGAGAAGCGGTTTGCGTTTTGATTTTAATATTTTTTATTACAACCCCGCTCCCGCCCCTCGCTCCGCATCTCATTACTC